GCGCGTCGTAAAGATCGGCCGCATTGAAAAATGTGCCTGTATGCACGACGCGCGTAGGTATATACACACGAGAGAGGATCAAGTAACGATCGCTACCGAACTATAATTTTGACTTTTAACACCTTCCTTATGTACACACGTACGGTAGTTGCTACGTGTACACACACAGCCGAGACTCGCGCAAAAAATCCGCACTCTATCATATTCGAGTAAAAACGATATAATTATGCTTTTCCTGCCCGGTGTCTGCGTTAATATAATATAAATAATAAATGTATCTATATATTCCTCGGAATACCTGAAAAGTTTTTCATCGGTGCCCCCTCGGTTATACTACTGCTGCTGCGCGTATTACTTAGCTTTTATGGAGGCCGTAAAAACGAACGAAAAGTATCCGCGCGCGAATGGTTAAAGGGTCGAGTTTGTGCGTTGCGTAACTGCGCGCCGCAAGCACAGCAACGCCAACAATAACAACAACAACAACAACGTAATACATAGGACGAAGCGCGGTGTACTGTACACGCACAAGTGTAAAATGAAAATTTTTATCGATTATCCAAGCGTCCAGGACGAGGATACCCCGCGGAGTTATTTCGACTAACCTTTGTGTTATTATCGCATCGAAGGGGGTAAGAGGTGTGCGATGTATACCGCTATATGGTGCGGCGATGCGCCACGGCAATATTACATTATTATAATATACATACGCCGCGCGCGGTACGGCACACACCGCAAGAAATAATACCAACACACACACGGACACGGACGTAGCTCGTTATTATTTTATATGAAGTTCGCGTTTTTAATTACAATTGGACATGCGCTCGGAGCCGCCGACGCCGAGCGCTTGGCATGGGCATGAGGCCGCAGCATATCGTAGTGTATACTCTACACTAGCTATAAGGCCTATATGGTAATCAATCAAGAAAGTTGTTCGCTATATTTATATATGTTTGTGTGTGTGGAGCTATATAGGAGACTCTCTGCACTCTTATACATATATACACTCGTGCCTCTCTCGTGAGATTCAATAAAGACGACTAGACGGGACTACTCTCGCGAGCTATATAGCAGCAGCGGAGCGAGCCGAGCTCGCGCGCGTCAATGTAAATAATTCATTGCTCCTCGATGAAAGTAATTGGACTGCTTTTTTACCCGAGTGCCCTTATGCCTATGTACACAAACACAACACACGCGCGCGGCTAGTCGTATATAAATGTACATACATACACACAATATGTATAAGTGTGCGTGTGTGCGCCTTTTAAAATGAATCTATCCGTCGACATTGTATATCAGTTTCTTATATTCTACCTCTCGGCGCATATAGCTTTAACCAATCGCACGTGTGTCTGTGTGTGTATGACTGCACATAAGTGCACTTGCGTGTCTGTGTACGTGTGCGTTTGTATATATATACGAGAGTGGCCATATGTACTTGCCGTTTTCAAATCTTAAATAGTCATGCGATGTATCGATTTCTTCCCGTCCGATGAAATATGTACGCGCGCCGTGTGCGCATTTTTCCGCGTCGCTGCGATTGTTTTTTCTCTCCGCTTCGTTGTTTTTTTTTTTTTTTTGCTTTTTTTCATATTCATCTATTTCCAAGCGCGGCATATATGCAACGAAGCACGTATATTATTCATACGTTTTATAGATATATGGATATAATTGAATAAATATGAAAATGCCTGTTATGTATTACACGTATAATGTGAAACGGGAGTAAGACATTGTAAAAAAAGAGCCTAATGGTGGCTCGTTTATGAGTATCTACGCGCTATACACCAGGTCTTTCACCCCTGTCGACGGCCCGAGCTATAATAGTCCATGATACATATTACATTTACGAGGTATAGCCCAAGAGCGAATGAATAAAATATCAATTGTGCCTCGCGAAAGCTTGGCCGAGGGAAACGATCGCGCGAGAAGCGTAAAAAAGACTGTAAAGCTCGCTGGCGTGGGTGCAAGGGTACACTTGCCTTTAATGCAGAGTTAATGTTAAATCAAACATTAAAATCAAAGTAACCTATATGGAATATTATTTACGTTATTTTTACATGAAATCTTCTGTATAAATACTGATTTATTTGTTTACATGAACCGCTCAAAAATTTCAGGAAAATTATATTGTATACCTTTTGGGCGAAAAATGAACAAAAAAGCTATCCGATACTGAAATTGACACAATTCGAATGAAAATGAATGCTTAAGTACTTATTTATTGATATTTCACGAAATGGCGAAAAAATGTATGAAATGCATTGAGCGTTAATGCCAGCCTACACCGCTAGGTGGCGAGTACCTATATCAGTAAATCTGCAAGTAGTAAAATGAAAATTATTGTATAAGATTTCTCAAAAAAATTATGAAATAGCAGATCCATTTCAATAAGTTTTAGGATCCTCATCGAGTGTATCCTCATCGAACGTAAGAATATTTTCAACTTCAAAGCAAGTTTAGGGATATCAAAAATATTATTGGTATCGCTGAGTACTACAAGTATAAAATTGGCAAAGCAATAATCACGCACAATTTGCGCGGGTGCTAATTTTTCATTTTATCATAATGACACCCCTGTAACGATCCTCGAGCCCATCAATCGCCCATTACGCCCGACAAGTTTCTAATCATTCTCCAAGAAGAAACAAAGTGTATATCGTTTTGCCGGCACCGTAATAATCATCGCAACGATCGTTCGCGACGACACGAGCAGCAACAGCAGCAGCAGCGACTCGTCGACAACTCGAGCAAATGAGTTTTGCAATTTAACCGAGTAAGTATCCGTACATTATTATAACTATAAAACACACGAAACCTATCTTCGGAAAACTAGGTATAGAGACGAGCATCGGCAGCAGCAGCAGTGCGAGGAAATGGGATCGACGTCTCGCGCAGGTGCGCCTCTTTTTTGCACTCAACTCCCATATACTGTATATATATATATTCCTATGGTGTGCAAGTGCAGACAGCAGCAGCAGCAGCAACAGCGAAGAAGAAGCTCGCGTGCCGCATACATATAATACGAAAGAACGTGCGCTTCTTTTTCGATATTTTTTTTTCTTCCTCTCGTCTTCGTTTACTCCATCCCCCTCTCTCCCTCCTTCGGAGAGAGAAAGAGCTTCGTCGTCTTTCTTTTTCTATCTTTTCTTCGCCTCCAGAGATGAGTATATGCGAGCGCGCGCGGTGCACGCGAGGTGGCTCGTTAGAAGCCTATAATTGAATGATGGCCCAAAGGCCCTACGAGTCAAGTACTCTGTGCAAACATTGTCTCTCTCTCTCCTTTCCTCCATCTCTCTTTTACACCCTCGCGAGCGAGATGTATGTTATATTACTCGCACACGTACGTACACGCGCGCAAGGCCGAAGACGGGTGTGAGAATCTTGATGATCGATAATGCCGATCACCGCGCACGGGCGAGCCGAGCTCGTGGTCAATTTGGCAGGTATATAATGCGGCGTCCGTGTCCTGTTTTTTTTTTTTTTTTTTGCCTCCGACGCTCGTTTATATATAGGAAGCCACAATTATAAAGGAGAAAAGAAGAGGCAAAGGCGTCGTCGTCGTCCCCCACTCTCGCGTTGATCGAGAGCTTCAGATCCCTAAAGACCTTCATTAAAGATAACCACCACAAATCAGCCTTTTATCTCTCTTTCTATATTTTCTTTCTCGCTCGGCTCGGCTCGTTTCGCGTCGCGTCTTATAATACACGGTCGGTCGTGTGCTCGTTCGTGGATGAGCTTTTCAGCTGTATAGCTAGAGAGATATCTTATAAGAGAGAACAATGTGCACCTATAGCTAGCTAGCTAGCTCCCCCGTAATACCTAACTATAATCTGCGGATATAGCTTCACCTGTGCACTGCAGCAGCAGGGCCTAGAACGCGTCGATTATTACACCAAGGCGCGCGCACTCGTCTATATATAGGATAGGTATTTGCATCGGATGCTTATATCTCGCAACGAGCACACAATAAACAGCATCGCACCTTTTTATACGTGCGCAGCTCGTATATATATAGTATAAATATAAGAGCTGGGCCAGCATAACGATCTTATCGGGCGTCAATAATACAACCCCACCATATCCACCCACCTGTGCACTTACCCTGCCCATACATACATAGCTCTCTATCCGATATTAGTCCCCTCGGAAAATATCTTCTCGAGCGCGCGCGCGAATGATTAATACCGAGTCGAGCGTGGGCGGTATGTATCGAGGATGCTGCGCGCATAAGGCGCATAATATTAATCGCCCTTCGTGCCATAGATCGAGCCTTCTAATTTCTGCCTATGCGCGCGCCCCCGCGGATTAATCGGTCGTTTATCACTCATGGGTATATATGTGTGTATGATCGGAGTGTCGAGAAAGTCTCTCTCGTTACTTTTTTTTCCTCCTCTCACACGACACGCGATGTCACGAATATTTATGCTTTTTGCTTTTGAATCTAGCGTAGCCCCCCCTTCGCCATTTTTTATTATCATTCGCCCGGGATAATGGGGCGCGAGCTTCGAGGTCTAATGAAGTTGCAGGACGCGGCACTGTTATAATAACGTACGTATAGATACTCGCTCGCGGATACGCGATGATGATTACGCTCCTCGTTGGGAATTTCGCACGCCTCGGCATTCTGGCGATTCTAGTCTAGACGGCCGAGTGTCGATCGCAGCAATACAACGCACGACGAGGACGATTAATTATTTCGTTCCTGTGTGTGTGTGCAGAAAATTGATTGACTCATCGCTCGTTTATTAAAAATCAAAACGGCGTTCGTTATCCCATTGTATATCTTATTTACGTTCGTAATTACGAAATGGAAAGCAAAAGAATATAGGTGTATGTGCGGCTTTAATGGCGCGCGAACGTATACGTACGATACACATACACACATGGAACTGACAATCGAACGTGACAGGTCGATAGACAAAATCGCTATCTTATTCGATATATATGTGCCTACAATATCGCCAATTACAATGAATGACGATAAAAACGTGACTTACCTCTTTGTTCCGTAGTTCCACACGAGCTCTTGTCACCGTTGTCCTCCGCTGTCATTGAACTTCCGAACAGCTGCTGCTTCTCTTCTGTGATTCTACAATTAAAAGTTTTAAATTATAATCTTTATAACAGTAATGCATCACTTAAAAGTAGAGATTCCCAAGATGTACTTTTTCACACAGAAGCCAGTGCGAAACGGTAATCGAATTTAGCGGTATCTAGCTTACATATTTCGTGAACACTGCATATAAACTTAAAATAGAAAAAAAGGCAAGCTAAGTGATGTAGCACAAGATAAAAAATATTGTAAAAAAAAAGTCACAAAGTTAACATTTTTACTTCATACTACTTTTTAAAGGTACAGTTCGCGAATGAAATTGAAATAAATTATAAAACTGTGCGGAATGGATGTCGAAAAACAAAACAATTGGTTTTGAAAATGTGCACTTTTACATTGATAATGAATGATTTGAAATTGACTCATACTCAATATTTTGATTCGTAAACATTAAAGATAACAAAAATATTTGATAAAATTCTTTTGAAATAATTGAAATGATTTTCAATTCATATGAAAAAATACGTTCAGTACAGTTATTATTATCAAGTCAATTTCTTCGAAAAATTTATCTAAATAAATTAATTGAAAATTATAAGGTATTCGTTGAAATATCGACAATTATTTGTAATCTTAAATGTATTTGACCATCTGGTTTGTTTATAAATAAAATAAATAAATTGACATAAAGGATAACCTTCATCGAGTAACCTTCACATAGTTATTATTTTAGATATAAGATATTCTATCATATTGTACACATTTATAAAAATAAAACATTCTTTTCAAATAAAAAACTCTTAATTGTCAATTTACAAATATATTTCACAATCCAATGGTCAAACATGTAATAATTTTGGTAATTTGAAGAAAGTGAACAATATGAATGAACACGAAAATACAAAAAGTATACTTTAATCGTTACTTTTACTTTTGATTAAGAAATTCTCAATCAACTTTAAAGCTTATTATCGATAAAACTAGTATACTATAACAAAAAGTTGAAAACCTACTCATTTTCGTATTCTAACGAATTGGTTTCATCCTCTTCTCCAATAGTCGTTAAATTACTTGTCCAATAACAATCCTCTTCACTCTCATCTGCGATATCTTCTTTTTCAATAATCTCTCTTGCTCTGATATTTCTAATCGTCCGAGCAATCCTCAAACTGTGATCATCAATGTCGATACTCAATGCTTCATTCATAATTTCTTCTTCAATTTGTTGATTAATAAGTTCCCTGCAGAGATCTACGTTTTCAACAATTTCTGTTTCAGAATCAGAACTTAGTTCTTCTGATTTCTCCAAAGTATCGATTGGACTATCAGATTTTACAGTTTCTTCAATCGTTTTATTTTCGTCGATTGTAACATCATTATTCACAGAAATTGGATCAGTTTTGTTTGCGTTGAGTGATGCTGTACAAGTAATTTCATCGACGTCTTTGCTATCACATTTTTCAAAAATAGTCTGCTCTTTTTCGATCGCCTGCTTATCCTTCAATATCTCCAAAAACGTCTCTTCTTGAACGTTTTGATTAATTTCTAAATTCTTTTGCCCCGTCGATTCATTCGAATCATTAATAATCGCATCATTGATTGTTTCACTTTCGTTACGATTCTTTTGATTCTTATCTTCCTCGTTTGTTTTGTCAACATTGAATATTTTATTGATCGTATTGGGATTCCGAGCCTCCGGCACAGGTGATGCTGGCTCGCGCCTCGGCGGTGGTGGAGGAGGTGGAGGTCGTTTACGTTTACCCTTGACCTCTTTTCTAGGCATAGGTTTGGGTGGCCGAGGAGCATTTGGTTTACTTCGCTCTGGCTCTTTTGCCGATTGACAATGCTGTTGCTGCTGTTGCTGCTGCTGCTGATTTACAGGTACGCGGTTCACGTGGTTACGCACCGGCAGGGGCGGCGCCTCGCCGTTCACGACTTTATCGACGATTTCTGCGTCGTCTTTTATAGGCCGGAAATGCGTGCGCGAATCGGCAACAAGATTGGCCGTGAAAAATATGCTCGGTCTCGGCTCGTGTCCGTAGCTGAGCGGCGCGTCTTGAAAGCACAGCGGTGGCTGCAGCGTCGGGGTCTCCTCGATGAGCACCGTGTTGGGTGCCACGACGGCGGTGACTCGCTCGACGTCGCCTCGAGACTCGACGTAGGTGCGGGCCTCCGAGTTGGCCAAACGATTGAGCAAGAAGTCGGCGTTGTTCATGTCGACGACGTTGATACCGCTCGACAAGGGAATATTGATCTCGCGATCGTTAATCTCGAGTTCTGCATTATCGAGCTCCAGATGAAACTGATTGGCGTCGGACGTGTGGGAGATCGTCGAGGTGGTGGAAAATCGATCCGAGACCGAGCAGCGATCGACCACGGTGGACAGCGAGCTGCTCGTGTCGTCGGAAGTGCTGCCCTGAGTGCTCGAGCCATCGTGCGAACGAGCGTCCAGGTACACTTGAGCCTCGGTCGGTAATTCCTGAAAAGAAAAAGGAAGGAAGTTCAGTTTTGATTCTCGTCCGACTGCGTGCTATTCCGTTTGTCACGGAAAGAGCGTAATTTTACCTGTCTGATAGCTTTGTTCAGTACGGGAGATGCGTGCGGTTGCTTCAGGGACGAACTCTTGGTCGGCGAAGAGGCGCAACTCTCGTAATTGCTGGATCTCATGCTGCTCGCGGCACTGCGATAACTTCCTTGTGACAAAGGCGATCCAGTTTGCGATGATCCAGCTGATTTAGGACTATCCCAGGCTTGTTTAACTCCTGCAGAAGGATAGCAACAACAAAAAAATATTAAATTCGCTTTCATATTGAATTAACCCAGTAACAAGTAAGTAAATAAGTATAATCATGCAGTACGTAGAATTTTTTTTCTAAACAGAAAAAAAAACTCTCATACTCGTTATTTTGACTGCGAGGAGGAAATTAAAATACAATGCTCATTATGAGATCGGCAATGGGTTAAGTATCCAAGCCATAATTCATCTAAACTGACATCATGATCGAGCAATAACAATCATCTTCCGCAATTAACTTTCTCTCGTAAAGAGTAAATAACGCGTTATTAGGTTAGAATAATTACGCGTTCTGGATGTATATATAGATACAAAATAATTGCGCTCGCGTTCGAATGTTACTTCACACGCCGTCAGCGATAGTACAGGTAGTAGCTCCGTAGCCGCGTTATTATAAATATATAGAACGGGTTGAAAAAGTGCGTGTCTTTCTCGTGCTTTTAATTCGAGAGAAAAATAAAGCGTATCAATCATCGGGTTATTTTTTCACTCTTCCTTTCGCGTACGTACACACACGTTCATTCACGCGATCGTATAGCATTACCTGGGCTTGCCTCGCCATCGGCGAGACCGCGATTGACCGTGCTCGATGACGACGCCGGTGACTGTTGCGGTTGTTGCTGTTGGTGGTGGTGGTGGTGTCTCAGCTTTCTCGGCGGTACGGGTGGGGGTGGCGCCGTCGGCAGCTCCGGCGGTGACGTTGGTTTACATTGCTGCTGCTGCTGCTGTTGCACCTGTTTGTGCTGATCCTTGCGCTCGGCGCTGACGACCTCGGGCCGCAGAGCACCTCGGCAGCGTATCAGCAGCCTCAGCACCAGCTGGGACTCCTTCAATCGGCGCACGCAGTCGAGACGCGTGAGCTGCGTCACCGGCACGCCGTCAATCGACAGCAACTGTCGAAGCATAAAATAATGCATTGATGAAAAAATATCGAAGCGATGCTTTACTTATTTTTTATATAAATTACGATGAAGCAAACGAGAGAGAGATTACGTTGCGAGAGTTTGCGAGGAGAGTATAATTCATAGAATGTTGCGATTGCGAACTACTACTACTACTACGGGTTTGCGGTTGAATTTTACGAGCTGCATGTACCGAGAACGATCATAGTACAATATGAGAGCGCGCAGATGCAACAAAATATTTTCTCTCTCTCTCTTCAAAGCAGACACGTATATTACCAAACTCGGTTGCAATTATTATACGGCTTTATACACGAAGCTACGATGTAATATAGTTATATAACAAAAAAGATAAAAAAAATAATAATGACATAATGTATCAGAGTCATTCACCTCGTCGCCTTCGCCGAGTTTTCCCCAGGAGCAGGTGGTCCTGCTCGCCGGGCTCTGTTCGGCGCAGCTCTGTATGAACAGTCGGCGGACCTTCTCCGACGTCTTGTTGCCGCCCTCGAATTTCAGGCCGAAGCCCAGTCTCTCGCCGGGCAGCCGATAGACTTGGACCTCCTCCTCGGGATGGGCGGGATCGACGTTGACGCCGGCCGCAACGACGCTGCCGTTTTTGTTGTTATTGTTGTTCGCGGCGGCGGCGGCGGCTCCATTGCCGATCGACAGTACCGTGACGAAACTGCTGCCGTCCACGACGTCCGTCGATTGTTGTTGCTGCTGCTGCTGCTGCTGTTGTTGTTGCAGTAATCGCTGTTGACGCGGCCCACCGTGAACGTTGACCACGGTTACGAATTCGGCCTCGGACAGCAACGAGCCATTAGTCTGTGGCTTAGGCTGCTGCTGTTTTCTGTCCAACGACGTGGTACGCAGCGATCTCGTTTCCGCGGTACTCAGCTGCAGTTCCATTTTCTTCTGCGCGTTTTGCCCTTATCGTAGTTTTATCCGCCAAAAGAATCCCTTCGTCGGGCTATTCGTCAGGAGAGCTGTAGTCGCTGCTGATGCATCGTTAAAGTTGCCTTAGCTGTAACGGCGCAGAAAAAAGAAGAAAATAATGAGTGATCGAGTGAGACGTTTGTGGGACGTGTAAAATTTATGAATATTTTCTAAAAATAAAAAAAAAACATCGTGCAACGACGAGATTTATAATACAGGGTGGTAAGATCATAACGAGGATCGTTATCGCGGCGCGCAGCCTCACTTCCGGCCATCGTGGAAAAACGTTTCGGCCAATCGCTGCCGAGCAGAAAACGAGACGCCTATATATATGCGCGTACGTATAAGCGCTCATACATCTTCGTGGGCCCGTACTACTACTGGCAGGCAAGAGTTGCGAAGAGTATAAGAGGCAGCGCCTGCGCGCACAAGTACCCGTGCAACAGGTCATCCGGCCGCGTGAAAACTTCCCAGGGGCTCTCTCGCTCTCGAGGTTGCTGCCGCTGCCGCTGCCTTTTACCGCATCGATTCTCGCGCTCGCTCGTTCGCTCTGCGGTCGTCCGCGTATATATAGTACCTACACCCATATATTCGCATCGTTTCGCTGTATTATACGTTTCTGTGTGTAATGCAGCACGATACAGGCTTGAAATAAAAAAAAAAATGATAATCCACCGCTTAAATACACACGAGGCGATCCGGACTGCGCGAGAAACTACAAACCGGCCCTGTATGCGCGTTGTAGTTCATTGTTTTGATACGGCGCGGAGAATATATAGAACAAGTTGCTACAACGGATGAGCTCTCGGCCGGCGATAAATAACGTCGCGTTCTCGGTGCACCGAGCGGTGCAAAGACTACAACGACGACGACGAGCTGCAAATTTATCGAGAAAATCCGCGAATAATCACGGCGACCACCCCTCGAGTAAAAGATGTCTCTTCCTTTTTTTCCTCTTCTCTCGCTCGCTCTCCACCGTTAACAACGTTCGCGGCGACAAGTGAATCGCGCGGATTTCGCGGTCGTCGTCGTCGTCGTCGCACCGGCGATTTATGCCCGTATATGAGGGCATATAACAAGATGCAACTATACGCACGTGTATATATATAGGAAAAGAGAAAGAGAGAAAATTGTCGGTTTACGTTTATACGCGAAGGCTGTTTCGCACGCGGGCACCGCGATGAACGCGTATACCTGCATATAAATTGCATACGATACGATACGATTTTTCGACTGCAACAAGTGTTCCGATTTACATATAAAATGTGTGTGTGTGTGTGTAGCTCCGACCTATATATGCGTGCGCGCTCGCGTGTATCTTTATGATGCGACGAAAACATTATCATACAATTTGAGTCGCGGATAAGCGAGACGACGCGACGACGACGTTTTGTCGCGATTTTTCGAGCGACACCTCGAGCGAAGCGCAGCCCAACGAAAGCAGACGAGAAAAACGACGAGATGGGAATGAAAATGGGCCTTTGTGTGTTGAAGCGCGCAGACTCACTGAATGTAGCCTGCTCATGTACGAATGCACGGATTAAAATATATATACACACAAACACACAAGTGCGAAAATCGCACATCTAAGGCACGTGTGCTATTCGCGCGCGCGCGCCTCGAGGAAAAGGAAGAGAAATAACTGAACACGCGCGCGCGCGCCGTAAACAGCGTGAGAAATTGCGCGCGCTTCCATAAGTCAGGGCGCGCAAAATATGTGTGTTATATGTTACGTTGTAGTAGGTACGGCAGTAGTGCTCCACGCACTATAAAATGAATGACACTCTTCTTATGCTCTTATCGATACGAACGTTGTATGGGTGTATGTGTGTGTGTGTGTGTATGTGGAATTACTCAGATGCACGTGTGCATGTATACAATCTATGTCGGAGCAATTTTTCACGAAAATTTTGATGAATAAGATGCGGACTTGGGTATGGGCAATTATGTCTTATAACTGCGCGCGCCGTTGCTGCGGCGCTGGTGCGCACACTGCACACAGTGCGCCGCTGACACCGCCGACAATTTAGGTCGTGACTTTCTATCCTGTCTTTATACATACGTACACATATATATGAGAATTTTGCTGCTGCTGCTATTTGCAGGATTGAAACGCATGTGGCGGTATACAATATATATATATATCTATGTATTAAGTGCACATGATCGCGCGAGCGATGTCGAGATGCTGAGCACCTGTACAGCCACGAGCGCAGGATAACACGAAGGAGAGAGAAAAAAAATCAAAATAAGAATTAACTTCTCTAAAGAGACCTACACATTTATGCACGTGTGTAATAGGGAAAATAAGCATGGAAAAACGATTCTTTCGCGGGGCCGCGCGAGTCGCGATCGATCGCAATCGGTGAATTGCCCGGGATATATAGCTGGGTGCATGTTTTTTTGTGCAATATCGCATTCCATTGTGCGCGTGAAATGATAACCAATCACGCGATATCCTGTAATTTTTCAATACTGTAATACAAGTGCATCCACTGCGTATTGAGACACGCGCGAAGCAGCCGAGAATCGTTATTGTTTATTTACTTTTTCTTTTAACTGTATATCCACGAGGTGTTCGAGTCTACCTCGTGCGATGGATTTTCACTCGACTTGTATGCGCTCGTTGCTTTCATTTATAATTCGTTCTCTCTCTCCCCCAAAAAAAAGCCTGTAGCATAATTGCGATCGTATACGTGCCGCGAAACTATTGACTTCGTGTTTGGGCAAAATTAACGAATTGCACGCACGCGCTCAAGTCCATCTATAGAAAATTAAATTCTGCAACAAAATCAAAGCTCGAGTGCACGGGTTATATTTATATAAAAAAAAAAAATTAAAGGCAGAATTTTTCACACTCTCGGGCCTGCTGTAATGGTCCAATGAAAAATTATACGCATCGTATAAAACATCACACGCGCGTCGAACGATGTTTATGCCATGAAGGTAAAAAATAATTAGACGCCTCGTTACGGTCTAGTGGCCGTTCGAGATGTGTGTGTGTGAGGTTGTTCTATAACTTTCACGCGTATACACATTTCGAAGAAAACTCGCGCAATCAAGCTGTCTCTACAAATGTGGCAAAAAAATAAAGACGCTTTATACTACGGAGCGTATCGCAAAATGACATTTTTGCTTAATCCATACGTTCGATAATGCACCCCAAATAATCCCTAGGCTCCAGCCATGGAATCGAAGATTTTGAAAAGCAATCGACTTGTAACTTATCGCCAACTTGAAATCAAATTACGAAAGATGCAGCCACCTGCCCCCAGATGAAAAAAAACTTACTTTTTTATTTTTTCCCAATTTTGTCTTTGACTTCAAGTTCACATCAAATTTTTAGAAATAGCTTTCAATCTCATCAGATTATCTTTTTCAGATTTCCGGAAAAAAATTTCGATAACATGCTAAAATAATAAAAAATTTAAACTTAAACCGCGGCATTGGCACGAACTTTCCATGGACAAACTCAGTGTAAGTGGGAAGACAAGGGATCGAAAATTTTTTTAATAATTCAGAACTCAACTCACAGTTAGTCAGATGATCAACTCACCATTATTGAGGAACGAAACGTTTATTATTATAAAAACCCGCTTGGTTTTTAGGATACATCGTCATGAGGACCAGCTCATTGTCTCCTCTACTGCGGATCCAAATCATGCGTAACCTTATGTGTACCAACTTGACATGGAACCACTCGGAGGTACTTCTATTATTGATATCGTATACAACATAAGGTAAGTTCAACGCATAACAATTGACCCAGGATTCCATCTCTTCAGTATCACGCAATCTATTTAGTATATCTTGTCCTTTCGAAGTATTCAATATAAAAACTAAACACTTTACTAAATCGTTCTCTGATATAAAGCATGATACTTCAGGCTTATTATGTACGTAAAGTACCCGAACGCAATGCTCTCTCCTATGAGGAATGCAATCGCAGGAGGCGGGCTCGTGCAACAAGTGGCGATGAGGATGTCCCCCATATCTATCTCTGGAGTTTCGATACAGCTCTCGCGCTGACTCTGGGTTCCATTCGTCGCCTCCGGAAATGCTACCTGCATTCGGAAAAATTTTAAATGGTCAATATTGATGAAAATCGGTCTTCGGGGACGCGGAACAGAGCAAAGAGAGGGCGGCGCGCCGCGTTCATATATACTCGTACAGCGAGAGCACAGGAGAGGATGGCCGCGTCCGCGCAGACGGCTACGGTACAGCCTGATCAGCATCCGCTGGGCGACGAGACGCCTGAGCGCCGTGGCCGAATAGCCGGTCTGGTCCGAGACGACGTCGTAGGCGCAATTGTTGGGCTGGCGGCCGGCGTCCGGGTTGCGGGGCTCGGTACCGTCGGTCAGCGTGAAATGTCCGCCTGTACCTTTGCTGCCGCCGATTTTCTTGTGCGCGACGCCCAAAACCGACGGTCTGTTTCTCCAATTACGATGTCCACAGCCGCCATTGATGACGATCAATCGGTCCTCGGTCCACACGTCGATCTCGCGTCCCAGAAACTTGCTCGTCTCGACGAGGTGGTCCGTGTTCACCGGACCGTAGATTATAGACATCACGGTTTCTCCGGGGATGGGTTTCATGGTGGGATTTCGCTATTTTTTTCCTTTTTTTTTTTTTTTTTTTATTTGACTTGATTAAAAAAATTAAATTTTGGGGCCGAAATTGTTCTATGCTTAATTTTGAAGTTCCAAGAATTGAAGGTTATGCGTGATCGCACGCGACAAACCGTCTACATTTTTTTTTGCTTTTGTACACAAAAAAACGTGCGATATAGACATTCTTTTGTTTTCAAAAAAAAAAAAAAAAGTAAATAAAATTCTAATATCATACATAATAACTCATCGACTCAACATAATGATTATAAGAAAAAAAAAGTAGTCTTGTCTTTGGATCGATGGAATAGCACAATTTTGTACTTTCATTTCTCCACTACCACAGGGAACAGGTGAGAAATATAAATGTGCACCAAAGAAACAGTAATCGAACGATTCTTAGCAATATCGTTTTATAGTGCAAACACCCACACGTCGAATTACGAAAAAAGGCCGCGAGGTTCAATTTTATACGCAGAAT